ACTATGGCCAGATGGCGCCCAATTTTTAAGTTAATTTGAGATTAAAGATCAGCCCCAGCTGCTAAGTTACAAATTTTTTTATGCCGCTCAGTATCTTTTATGAATCAAAGTTAAGTACACCATCAGAACTGATTTTAAGACTTGGTTCCAGTATAACTGAAGAACATTTTTACAAATTAGAAATGAGGCCTCAGGACTTTCCACAGTCACACGAAGCTGGTTGAAACATGTTAACTAGAGCAAAGAGAACCATTTGAACAAATATTCCTGGTAACCGAATGTGGTCATGATTCATGTTCCTCACACGAGAGCCTGAAAACAAAAGCTGGAGAACAGGAACCACCAAGGCTGAAATTTTTCCACTCAGCAGAGCCAAATCTAATCACTGCGCCTGGTGAACACTAAGGCTGCAGAAATCACTCTGCCAGGATGAAGACGATTGGTGAGGTTGGGTTTGAGGTGGATTTGTCAGATGGAGAAAACAGATGGATGACATCAGAGGAAGAGAGAAGACAGAACTGATGGAGATTAAAATAGTAAAAGTATATATAATAGTATATAACAAAATAAATATTTTGTATCCAGGATCTTGTTTGTTGTTGTCTGTTTATTCTGATGGTCTACTTTGTACCGCCCTTTGTTTTCATCTCAAGGAAGTCATGTGACAAAGGGATTTTTATCAGCACTGACAGTCAAATGACAGTTAAAAGCTTTTACTTGTAACAGAAGAAAAATAATTGAATAATTGAAAAAAGGATCTGAGTACTTCTTCCACCACTGGCTGATGCATCTGCGATAAAATGGGTGCTAATAAATATAAAAAGCAAAATTCAGGCACTTTTTATTGTACTTTATATATATTGTTTAATGTTTCTTGTGCTGCTGTAACTTGAAGTTTCCCCATAGGGATCAAAGATGCAACTGAAACAACCAAAGGTCCTGTCTGACGTCTCATCATGCAATGTGACAATCAACTATAGAACCTGACATGCTGTATATCATTGTAACAATATATATGTATTGGAAGGAGTTCTTTTGGTTACACCAGTCACCAGAGTTCCTCAATGAAACCCATGGAGGCAGATGATCCTTCAGATTAACTGCAGAGCTCAACGTGCAGTCCTTCAATCCTGTCAGCTAACCAAGACTCCCAGCTTAAGCTTTTGATCTTTAACCCAAGACACATTAACCCTCTGTCTCTCTGTGGAGGGCAGACTGAAAAACAACATGCTCCCATAAACAGAAAGGAACTTTTTATAGCCTGCTGTGATGAACTTTAATCCAGCTGCTGTCACTGACTTTCCTCGAAAACTGTGACCTCCCATGCTGTCGGCTTTTCTGACTGTTTACTGTAAGTCATTATGAGTCAGAGTGTCTGCTACATGACTGAAACTCCACCTAAATGTGTCTTCAGTGTCTCCATTATAGCTGATGTGCAGCTTTTGACCAGAATGTTAATGCCTGTTGGGTAAAAACACCACTCAGAGACTTGTGCTGCTGTGTGTCTGATTTCTAAATTGCGAGGGTATTGTTCAGCATCAGCCAACATTCCTGGCATGACAGGCCCCCCCCCCGCCCCCCCCCTTCCTGCATCACCCAAAACAGACGCTCAAGCCATGCTGTAACACCCAGGGTTGCCGCCTCCCTCAGGGTTTAAAAATACATTTTATTTTCCTCTTAGTGCAGAAAAACAAAATCTGGAAAAAATGTTTTTTTTTTGCCAGATAGAAATGAGAGAAACAAGCTTGAAATAGTTAGCTGGTGGAAAACGTGGTACCTGAGTTTAACAGCTCGCCTGTAGATGCTGCACACCGACCAATAATTAGCAGGTGAGGTGGGGGTCTCTTCTTTGGGGTCACCGCAGGGGTCATGGTGGCCCTCTGCGCCGTACGTCCAAAAGGCTTTTATTCATTCCCTCTGTCAGTCTGAAAGACAAGCCAGCTATCCACACTTATATACAGCCCAGAGAGGGGAAGAGAGGGAGGAGAAAGCGTCACTACCACAACACAGCGATTAGAGAACAGAGAGGGAGGGGGTGAGAAACACAGAGACATAGTACAGATAGAGAGAGAGAGGTTCTAAATCCCTGCAAGTTTTTTGAGCTCCTCTGAGGTCTGATCCTCTGTCGAAGAAAAAAAACTCATCCACTGCAGTCAGCATCAGACAGGAAGACAGAGATAAAAACACAGTTTTCAACAACAAATGTCTATGTAAGTATGTGTGTGTG